AGTAAAGTAGAAGTACTCAGAGCATGTAGTAAAGTAGAAGTACTCAGAGCATGTAGTAAAGTAGAAGTACTCAGAGCATGTAGTTAAAGTAGAAGTACTCAGAGCATGTTAGTAAGTACTCAGAGCATGTAGTAAAGTAGAAGTACTCAGAGCATGTAGTAAAGTAGAAGTACTCAGAGCATGTAGTAAAGTAGAGTACTCAGAGCATGTAGTAAAGTAGAAGTACTCAGAGCATGTAGTAAAGTAGAAGTACTCAGAGCATGTAGTAAAGTAGAAGTACTCAGAGCATGTAGTAAAGTAGAAGTACTCAGAGCATGTAGTAAAGTAGAAGTACTCAGAGCATGTAGTAAGTAGAAGTACTCAGAGCATGTAGTAAAGTAGAAGTACTCAGAGCATGTAGTAAAGTAGAAGTACTCAGAGCATGTAGTAAAGTAAGAAGTACTCAGAGCATGTAGTAAAGTAGAATACTCAGAGCAGTAGTAAAGTAGAAGTACTCAGAGCATGTAGTTAAAGTAGAAGTAAAGTAGAAGTACTCAGAGCATGTAGTAAAGTAGAAGTACTCAGAGCATGTAGTAAAGTAGAAGTACTCAGAGCATGTAGTAAAGTAGAAGTACTCCGAGCATGTAGTAAAGTAGAAGTACTCCGAGCATGTAGTAAAGTAGAAGTACTCCGAGCATGTAGTAAAGTAGAAGTACTCCGAGCATGTATAAAGTAGGAAGTACTCTCCGAGCATGTAGTAAAGTAGAAGTACTCAGAGCATGTAGTAAAGTAGAAGTACTCCGAGCATGTAGTAAAGTAGGAGTACTCCGAGCATGTAGTAAAGTAGAAGTACTCCGAGCATGTAGTAAAGTAGGAGTACTCCGAGCATGTAGTAAAGTAGAAGTACTCCGAGCATGTAGTAAAGTAGAAGTACTCCGAGCATGTAGTAAAGTAGAAGTACTCCGAGCATGTAGTAAAGTAGAAGTACTCAGAGCATGTAGTAAAGTAGAAGTACTCCGAGCATGTAGTAAAGTAGAAGTACTCAGAGCATGTAGTAAAGTAGAAGTACTCAGAGCATGTAGTAAAGTAGAAGTACTCAGAGCATGTAGTAAAGTAGAAGTACTCGGAGCATGTAGTAAAGTAGAAGTACTCAGAGCATGTAGTAAAGTAGAAGAAGTACTCAGATCTTGTACTTGAGTAAAAGTAGAAGTACTCAGAGCATGTAGTAAAGTAGAAGTACTCAGAGCATGTAGTAAAGTAGAAGAAGTACTCAGAGCATGTAGTAAAGTAGAAGTACTCAGAGCATGTAGTAAAGTAGAAGTACTCAGAGCATGTAGTAAAGTAGAAGTACTCAGAGCATGTAGTAAAGTAGAAGAAGTACTCAGAGCATGTAGTAAAGTAGAAGTACTCAGAGCATGTAGTAAAGTAGAAGTACTCAGAGCATGTAGTAAAGTAGAAGTACTCAGAGCATGTAGTAAAGTAGAAGTACTCAGAGCATGTAGTAAAGTAGAAGAACTCAGAGCATGTAGTAAAGTAGAAGTACTCAGAGCATGTAGTAAAGTAGAAGTACTCAGATCTTGTACTTGAGTAAAAGTAGAAGTACTCAGATCTTGTTCTTGAGTAAAAGTATAAGTACTCAGATCTTGTACTTGAATAAAAGTAGAAGTACTCAGGTCTTGTACTTGAGTAAAAGTAGAAGTACTCAGGTCTTGTTCTTGAGTAAAAGTAGAAGTACTCAGGTCTTGTACTTGAGTAAAAGTAGAAGTACCAGATTGTAGGAATACTCTGTTACAGTGAAAGTCCTGCATTCAAAATGTTACTCAAGTGAAAGTATAAAAGTATTATCATCTAAATATAGTGAAAGACAGTAAAAGTAGTCGTTGTGCAGATTGGTCCATTTCAGAATAATATATATGATATGTTTTATAATGATTGATCATGAAAGTGTTCTCAAAGCTGGTGAAGGTGCAGCTAGTCTGAATGACTTTGTATACTGCAGGGTAGCTGGTGGATTTACTCCAGGTGGAACTAAAGTCTGATTTAACACTTGGTTAGATTTCACATCATTCATCCACATCTGTGAAGTAACTGAAGGTATAATGTTACAAAGATGGCCTTAGTGAACTCTGTGATCCTCTAACATCATAAACTTCTATCTGACAGGTTTGGACACAGATGATGGAACCCTCTCCTCTTTTTGTCTCCAGCCCCTCTCTCTGTTTCTGTGTCTAACTGCTCCCGATGTCTCGCTCCACAGGGGGTCTGCCTCTGGCGGCCTTTAACCTGGGTAAAGTGGTCCCCTACCAGAGGGGCTTTTTCTGTACCGACGACAGCCTCAGATACCCGTTCCACTCGAGCACGGTCACGTCCACCGTGCTCTACACCGTGGGCTTCACGCTGCCCATTAGCTGCGTAAGTAGGAGGCGTTCAATGACTCAAGTTGGCTCGTTCATCGCAGGTGGAGGAACATTTGCACTTTGAGGTGGTCTATGAGCTCATACACATGTAGGAAGGAGACGATATGAACACTTTACGTCAGGGGTGTCCAACTAAATGTCTTCATAACTTAACTACGTCTGAAAGCAGAAGGCCAGGGCAAATAATTGCCCTAATTTAAATATATATTTATACATATCGTCCCTTCCACGTGTGAAGCAACCACTTTTTTTATTTATTTTTTTAACTAGACTTCCTGCGATGGCGAGTCAACTTGCGAAATAATGAAATAAAAAGAGCGTCATGCAGGATGTATTCAGCTCCCTGGGGGATAAGAATGACTCACAGTTCCTTGGTATTTATTTAGCTCTGTTTCTCATGTCAGTGTGAAGCTGGTGACCTTCATAGAGGCTCTGAAGGGTGTGTTGGGAAAGCTGAAGGCAAAGGAGGATGTCCACTTTGAAGAATTCATAAACACACAGAAAAAGTACATACTGAACATCAGCTGGAGAGGACTCTTTAAAGTAGAGACACTACATACTGATATACACCTGAACATCAGCAGGAGAGGACTCTTTAAAGTAGAGACACTACATACTGATATACACCTGAACATCAGCTAGAGAGGACTCTTTAAAGTAGAGACACTACATACTGATATACACCTGAACATCAGCAGGAGAGGACTCTTTAAAGTAGAGACACTACATACTGATATACACCTGATCATCAGCAAGAGAGGACTCTTTAAAGTAGAGACACTACATACTGATATACACCTGAACATCAGCAGGAGAGGACTCTTTACAGTAGAGACACTACATACTGATATACACCTGAACATCAGCAGGAGAGGACTCTTTAAAGTAGAGACACTACATACTGATATACACCTGAACATCAGCAGGAGAGGACTCTTTAAAGTAGAGACACTACATACTGATATACACCTGAACATCAGCAGGAGAGGACTCTTTAAAGTAGAGACACTACATACTGATATACACCTGAACATCAGCAGGAGAGGACTCTTTAAAGTAGAGACACTACATACTGATATACACCTGAACATCAGCAGGAGAGGACTCTTTAAAGTAGAGACACTACATACTGATATACACCTGAACACCAGCAGGAGGACTCTTTAAAGTAGAGACACTACATACTGATATACACCTGACATCAGCAGGAGAGCTCTTTAAGTAGAGACACTACATACTGATATACACCTGAACATCAGCAGGAGAGGACTCTTAAAGTAGAGACACTACATACTGATATACACCTGAACATCAGCAGGAGAGGACTCTTTAAAGTAGAGACACTACATACTGATATACACCTGAACATCAGCAGGAGAGGACTCTTTAAAGTAGAGACACTACATACTGATATACACCTGAACATCAGCAGGAGAGGACTCTTTAAAGTAGAGACACTACATACTGCTATACACCTGAACATCAGCAGGAGAGGACTCTTTAAAGTAGAGACACTACATACTGATATACACCTGAACACCAGCAGGAGGACTCTTTAAAGTAGAGACACTACATACTGATATACACCTGAACATCAGCAGGAGAGGACTCTTTAAAGTACTGACCCTACATACTGACATACACCTGAACATCAGCAGGAGAGGACTCTTTAAAGTAGAGACACTATATACTGATATACACCTGAACATCAGCAGGAGAGGACTCTTTAAAGTAGAGACACCTAGATACTGATATACACCTGAACATCAGCAGGAGAGGACTCTTTAAAGTAGAGACACTACATACTGATATACACCTGAACATCAGCAGGAGAGGACTCTTTAAAGTAGAGACACTACATACTGATATACACCTGAACATCAACAGGAGAGGACTCTTTAAAGTAGAGACACTACATACTGATATACACTGAACATCAGCAGGAGAGGACTCTTTAAAGTAGAGCACTACTACTGATATTACACCTGAACATCAGCAGGAGAGGACTCTTTAAAGTAGAGACACTAACATACTGATATACACCTGAACATCAGCAGGAGAGGACTCTTTAAAGTAGAGACACTACATACTGATATACACCTGAACATCAGCAGGAGAGGACTCTTTAAAGTAGAGACACTACATACTGATATACACCTGAACATCAGCAGGAGAGGACTCTTTAAAGTAGAGACACTACATACTGATATACACCTGAACACCAGCAGGAGAGGACTCTTTAAAGTAGAGACACTACAAACTGATATGAAGAATAAGGTCCGTTTGTAAGAGAAGAGCGATCAGGAAGAACCATCCCGTGTCACTTTCTTGGAGAGAAAATGAACAACAAAGTATTTTTGTCTCATCTCTGCTCTAATGTTTCTCTCTAACTTGTCTCTTAACATAACCGGTCCTTTTTCCCGTGCCAACTTTAACCACTAATATTTGCATCCTGACGTTCCTGATAGTTGGCGACGTTCCCGCTAACATCACTGCAGATTTTGCACACTGTTGCATCATGGGAAAAAGATGGTCCAGCAGTGACACATTTTTTTGTAACCTGTATATTTTGTCTTTCTTTTGTCTCACTGCTTTCTCTGCTAGCTGGACTCCCCTTTGTTATATTCACGGTGACTCACAATCCTTTCCGCCGAGGCTTTTTCTGTAACGATGATTCGATCAAGTTCCCTCTTAAAGAAGACACCATTTCCTATCAGTTGTTAGGAGGTGTCATGATTCCCGTCACGGTGCTCACTGTAAGTGCATCTGGTTTGTTTGTGTTCTGCTAACTCCTGTGGTCCTCTTTTGATTTCTGCCTGGCTTTCGGCTCATGTTTCTCTAAATGCATGGTACTGCTGAATACATTATTCTGTCATCTTAAAGGATGCACGATTTATTAAAGCTAATTACCTGGTTCTCCTGATCGTTTCTAACCTATAGTTTCTGCACATATTAGTCAGCTTTCACTCATTAAACCTCCATGTATGTATGCAATAACAAAAGGCTAAGACTTAGTAAGAAAAGATCAATCAAATCAAATCAAGTTTTATTTATAAAGCACATTTAAAAGTGATTTTTGGTCGAGCCAAAGTGCTGTACATGTAATAAAAACACATTAATACATTCACAATAAAAGGCAATCATTTACAACAGAAATATAAAAAACAAAAACACAGGGAAAAGTTAGGAGTCGTGCTTCGCTCTGACTAGAAGGCCAGAGAGAAGACGTGAGTCCTTAGTGAGGGTTTAAACCCCTAGGGTCTGGGCCGACCTCACATGGAGGGGCAGAGTGTTCCAGAGCCTGAGGCCAGCTGCTGCGAAGGCTCGGTGCCCTCGGGTTTTAAGCCTGGTCTTAGGCGCTATCAACAGCAGCTGATCAGCAGATCTTAACGCTCTGGCTGGGGTGTAGCGATGGAGGAGTTCGGCTACATAGGCCGGAGCCAGCCCATTTAGGGCTTTAAAAATAAATAAAAGGATTTTAAAACCAATTCTGAACCGAACTGGAAGCCAATGCAGTGAGGCCAGAATTGGAGTGATGTGGTCACGCTTCTTATGGCCAGTGAGAAGACGTGCAGCTGCATTCTGAACTAGCTGCAGGCGTCTAATTGAGGCCTGGTCCATACCCACATACAGAGCGTTGCAGTAATCCAGTCTTGTGGTCACAAAGGCGTTAATAACCCTTTCCAGGTCTTTAAAAGATAAATACAACTTGGTTTTGGCCAATAGTCTTATTTAAAAAAAAAAGCAGGATTTACATTTACATTGTTACTCTCCCTATGTTTCTATAAAGTGAAGATTTGTTTACCTCCGTTTGATGCGTGCTCTGATAGAATAACTGTATGCTGTTGAAAAAACCTAATAAACAAAGTTTAAAAAAGAAAAGATCAATCTATCTGACATCACACAGAAACAAACATATTAGATTTTCGAATATTTATTTAGTGTTTTCTAGTGAAGTGAATACATTAATGCTGTTTTTCAAATTGCACCCGTGTTGTCATTCTCTAAAACTGTAAACAATGACATGCTTTCACCACATTAACGGATGCACACACTGTCTCCTGTGAAAAAGAGATCTATGACCTCAATGGGACCAATCTGGTTAAATAAAGGTTTGAAATGAAATGTACCCACATGAGTAGATGCTGCCAAAATAAGCCTTTTCTCTCGTATGACATCCTTTAAATGAACCATTTCCATATATATATATATCGTGCATCCAACGTAATAATGTATGCCTGCTCCTTATTGCATGCATACTCCACCCCTAATTAACCCTGCGAGCTAACCTACTAACTGCGTGATGCATTCAATGTTTTCCAAGCTCTTTAACGCTGCCAGAGGAAACAGAGAGGCGACCGTTATTTGAAAAGCTCCGACCTTAACGCACTCTGCAGCTGCGGCAGGAAAGTCTGCAGAGAGAGGCAGATGAGGAACTCCTCCTCCTCCTCCTCCTCCTCCTCCTCCTCCTCCTCCTCCTCCTCCTCCTCCTCCTCCTCCTCCTCCTCCTCCTCCTCCTCCTCCTCCTCCTCCTCCTCCTCCTCCTCCTCCTCCTCCTCCTCCTCCTCAGAAGAAGAAAAGCAGACGTAACCTTTGTCAGGAATTATAAAAATGTGAAAGCACTTAAAGACAGGCTCAGCAGTTAGTGAACATATCCCTTTACTTTCATAACTTAGGACCATTGCACAGAACAATAGTTTTACCATATAATTACGGAGCAAAGACTAGATAGAAATAGTGGAAAAGCGGTGCATTTATGAGTAAAAAAAGAACCACAAATGTAAAAGAAAAAATCATAAATTCTCTGAGATTAAAGTCAGATTTATACCAGAGAATATCCAGCTTTTTTCTTTTATATTGCTCCTTTTAAACCTTTTAATTAATTAATTAATTAATTATGCATTCAATTATTTATTTAAAGTGATATATATATATATATATTTATTTTTACATAATTATTATCTATTTTTTTTATTCACCAAAAACGTTCCTTGCAGGTTTTATCTCTAAATATGAATGAAAACAAGCTTCCATTCAATACGTACAAAACATATTAAAGTAAAGTGAAGCAGCTCAGTGACAAACACCTTGAAACTTTATTGACACCCTTTTAAATTTGACGATTTTAGAGATACAGGAGCTTCGAGGCAGAGTTTCTATTTCTGTTCGAATGAATATCCAGAAAACCCTCCGGCTGTTTTCTGTTGGCAGCGTAACGAAACGAACTCTCGTTCTTTTGGACCACGACAGGAATCTATGAGTCATTATTCAGTATGCACACACACACACACACACACACACACACACACACACACACACACACACACACACACACACAAATGTCTTACTATGACGTCCATCAAGTTAAAAGTGCTTATTAATTGAAATGGACATCCTCCTACTGCTTTCATATTTCCAACACAATTTCCTATCAGATGTTTAATCCTCGTTATGTTATAAAAACGAATAGTTCAAATTGTTTGTGATTGAACCCTTTGCTGTGTTTCTGAGCTTAACATCGATACCACTCTTATGTGTGCCTTAAATATGAAGTTAGCAGCTGATTAGCTTAGCTTAGCATAATGACTGGGCAAACAGGTAGCCTCATTCAAAAATTAAAATAAATACTGTGTATATAATCCAACTTTAAATAATGCTGCACGATTTGAAGAACTATTAAATATAACAGAAGGGATATTTCTGCTGCTTTTGGTTTTAGCTATAAAACAAAAAATGTAAATGCATGTACACAAAAAAAAGATTAGAGGCATTCCCTAAATCTCTACATTTTGATATCGCAATCTTACACGATGTGTTTATTATGCATTCTGATAATTATTAAAAAGCTAAATATTGTTCAGCAGAACCTTCTAAGCATCCTGATTAACCCTATATTTCTGGATGCTAGTCTCTATGCTAAGCTAAGTTATCTTTCATCTAACTAGACAAAATGTGTTTACTTGCAAGTTGACATCGCATTGACTTTTAAAAAATCTATATATTGTGCAGCCTTACCTTTCACATCTCACTATTCAGCACGTTCTGGTTTCTTTACCTATACTCATCAGTCTTTATGCTAAGCTAACTAGCTGCAGGTGCTAGCGTAGCAACAGGAGAGCGGTATCGATCAATTTAGAATAAAATTGGTGTTAGATTCTGATTTTCTTTTACCTTTTTAAATCTTTATTTTAGACTGAGTAAGTGGAGATACAATGAGGGAATGTTTCAGGCTTTCTTGTTGACTTTTTTAATATTTCTGTACAATCCTCTAACCCTGACTCCCCCCTCTTACAGATGGTTATTGGCGAGTGTCTTCTAGTTTATCTGGAGCACCTTAAGTCCAAGTCTTCTTACGGCAGCTACGTGTCGTGTGTTTACAAAGCGGTCGGTACCTTCCTGTTCGGCGCCGCTATGAGCCAGTCTCTGACGGACATCGCCAAATACTCCATCGGTCGTCTCAGGCCGCACTTCCTCGATGTCTGCAGACCGGACTGGAACTTCATCAACTGCTCAGTGGGCGATTACATCGAGACGTTCACCTGCCAAGGGGACGCCAAGATGGTCAACGAGGGCAGGTGTGTACTGTCCCTCATCATTTCTCATGTTTTATTTACTTATTTTACTCAGAGGACTCTTTAAAGTAGAGACACATACTGATATACACCTGAACATCAGCAGGAGAGGACTCTTTAAAGTAGAGACACATACTGATATACACCTGAACATCAGCAGGAGAGGACTCTTTAAAGTAGAGACACATACTGATATACACCTGAACATCAGCAGGAGAGGACTCTTTAAAGTAGAGACACATTCTGATATACACCTGAACATCAGCAGGAGAGGACTCTTTAAAGTAGAGACACATTCTGATATACACCTGAACATCAGCAGGAGAGGACTCTTTAAAGTAGAGACACTACATACTGATATACACCTGAACATCAGCAGGAGATGACTCTTTAAAGTAGAGACACTACATACTGATATACACCTGAACATCAGCAGGAGAGGACTCTTTAAAGTAGAGACACTACATACTGATATACACCTGAACATCAGCAGGAAGAGGACTCTTTAAAGTAGAGACACTACATACTGATATACACCTGAACATCAGCAGGAGAGGACTCTTTAAAGTAGAGACACTACATACTGATATACACCTGAACATCAGCAGGAGAGGACTCTTAAAGTAGAGACACTACATACTGATATACACCTGAACATCAGCAGGAGAGGACTCTTTAAAGTAGAGACACTACATACTGATATACCTGAACATCAGCAGGAGAGGACTCTTTAAAGTAGAGACACATACTGAATATACACCTGAACATCAGCAGGAGAGGACTCTTTAAAGTAGAGACACATTCTGATATACACCTGAACATCAGCAGGAGAGGACTCTTTAAAGTAGAGACACATTCTGATATACACCTGAACATCAGCAGGAGAGGACTCTTTAAAGTAGAGACACTACATACTGATATACACCTGAACATCAGCAGGAGAGGACTCTTTAAAGTAGAGACACTACATACTGATATACACCTGAACATCAGCAGGAGAGGACTCTTTAAAGTAGAGACACTACATACTGATATACACCTGAACATCAGCAGGAGAGGACTCTTTAAAGTAGAGACACTACATACTGATATACACCTGAACATCAGCAGGAGAGGACTCTTTAAAGTAGAGACCCTACATACTGATATACACCTGAACATCAGCAGGAGAGGACTGTTTAAAGTAGAGACACTACATACTGATATACACCTGAACATCAGCAGGAGAGGACTCTTTAAAGTAGAGACCCTACATACTGATATACACCTGAACATCAGCAGGAGAGAACTCTTTAAAGTAGAGACCCTACATACTGATATACACCTGAACATCAGCAGGAGAGGACTGTTTAAAGTAGAGACACTACATACTGATATACACCTGAACATCAGCAGGAGAGGACTCTTTAAAGTAGAAACACTACATACTGATATACACCTGAACATCAGCAGGAGAGGACTCTTTAAAGTAGAGACACTACATACTGATATACACCTGAACATCAGCAGGAGAGGACTCTTTAAAGTAGAGACACTACGTACTGATATTCACCTGAACATCAGCAGGAGAGGACTCTTTAAAGTAGAGACACTACATACTGATATACACCTGAACATCAGCAGGAGAGGACTCTTTAAAGTAGAGACACTACGTACTGATATACACCTGAACATCAGCAGGAGAGGACTCTTTAAAGTAGAGACACTACATACTGATATACACCTGAACATCAGCAGGAGAGGACTCTTTAAAGTAGAGACACTACATACTGATATACACCTGAACATCAGCAGGAGAGGACTCTTTAAAGTAGAGACACTACATACTGATATTCACCTGAACATCAGCAGGAGAGGACTCTTTAAAGTAGAGACACTACATACTGATATACACCTGAACATCAGCAGGAGAGGACTCTTTAAAGTAGAGACACTACATACTGATATACACCTGAACATCAGCATGGGGGGACTCTTTAAAGTAGAGACACGACATACTGATATACACCTGAACATCAGCAGGAGAGGACTCTTTAAAGTAGAGACACTAAATACTGATATACACCTGAACATCAGCATGGGGGGACTCTTTAAAGTAGAGACACGACATACTGATATACACCTGAACATCAGCAGGAGAGGACTCTTTAAAGTAGAGACACTACATACTGATATACACCTGATCATCAGCAGGAGAGGACTCTTTAAAGTAGAGACACTACACACTGATATAAACCTATTTTCCACACTTTATTATTACATTTAAATACAAACCGAAGAATTCATTAATCATATATAATAACTATTAGTCTCAGCTCTAGTCAAATAAAGGAAGGAATGTTTGACGTTTTTAGACGTTGTGAAATTAGACCTCTGGGTTTTTGTTGCTTAACAGATTATAGAAATCTGACGCACAGTATATTGAACCCTGTGTGCTCTCCTTTGTTTGGTAACCTGCTCACGCTGTAAGTACAAAGGTCAAATGTGTCCCTGAACAATTGACGAGTGATTGTGCACTTCTTAACGTTGTGATAAAGTGGTGCAACTCTTACGTTTCCATCCAGTCTCTGCCCCAGTGTGAGGGTTCAGTTATTGGTTTGCAGCAGCGCTGAGAAAGATCTCAGGAATGTGAAGCTTGTTTTGATTTAAGGAGCGTGACGCTTATCGGCTCGCTGCAGAGGGAAGTGTAGAGGGAGGAGAGGACTTCCACTTCTCATTAGTAATTATAGAGGCAGAGGGCGAAATGGTGACATCAGCTGTGCAGATTGTATCAGGGTTAGAGAGGTTTATTATGGGCTGTGAGGAACTCGATCTCTGCTCAGTCACTCAAGAGGGATAGTTTGAATGGTTTGTGGCGTTGTATGAAGTACATGTCCAGTTTGAACAGGTGAACAAGCTAAGAAAGGCTTTGAATAGGCAAATTAAAACACTATATTTAGAATATTTCACAGCCTTACTTTGCTTATAGACAGACCTTTTGGCGGGGAGCTGTTATAAATGCCTTTTTATAAATCCACCAGACTCCATTAAATGGACTGGTAAATGGACTGTACTTATATAGCGCTTTATCCAGTCTTTAAAACCCCTCAAAGCGCTTTACATACATGTCATTCACCCATTCATACAGAGCAGTGTATGTTACTCTAGGACCTAACATTCACACACATTCACACACCGTTGGCCATGCCATCGGGAGCAACTCAGGGTTAAGTATCTTGCCCAAGGATACATCGACATGTTGACTGCATGGGCTGGGATCGAACCCACAACCTTCTGGTTGAAAGACGACCGCACTCCCTCGCAGCCACAGTCGCCTCATTAACACAATCGGTTATTTTACCTGACAGATCACGGGTGCCGCTTGTCTAACCCAGGGTGTATGCAGGAATCCTGAAGTCAGACCTTTTTAAGACCTTTTTTAAGACCCTTTTCATACATTTTAAGACCTCATCGCCACTTTGAGTTCTAACTGGTTACCTTGGCGACACACTTTACCTCACATTGACTATATACAGTATTGATTGTCCTTCCTCCTTATCTTCCAACCATTTGCGATATTTTTGGATCTTTAAGTATTTTTGGAACTTTAAGTATATTTGGAACTTTAAGTATTTGGAACTTTAAGTATATTTGGAACTTTAAGTATTTGGAACTTTAAGTATATTTGGAACTTTAAGTATTTTTGGAACTTACGGTATTTTTGGAACTTTAAGTATATTTGAAACTATAAGTATATTTGGATCTTTAAGTATGTTTGAGTTCTAACCGGTTACCTTGGCGACACACTTCACCTCACATTGACTATATACAGTATTGATTGTCCTTCCTCCTTATCGTCCAACCATTTGGACGCAGACTTGCATTTCCCCATAACGATGTTGCTTAGCAACCGGCGTAAACGGACCTCCGCGCGCTATCAAGCAGTGAGCGCGCGATGTCCTGTTCAGATGACGTCAAACCCAACGGGATGCCATCAATAAACTACACAGAATCACACTACACACCTACGCCATGATTACATTCAGGCAGACTGTAGAATACAACCTCTCTGGACCATTTATATACTTATTGAAAACAAGCTACAAAATGTAAAACCTTGGAAAATGTTGTTTAATAGCCTTCATTTTCGCTAAATTGATTTATCAACTTGTAATACTTTTTAAGACCCCGCGGACCCCCTTGTCTAACCTCTGCCTTGATAAGGTTAGTTTCCTTGTGTTATTGTGGGACTGTGGTGGATCTGATCAAACTGTGTAAAGCACCCAGATCACACAATAACACAAAGAAACCAGAGCAGCAACTTATGTGATACAGGATGTAAAATTACAGTTTTTTCAGTGGAGTGGCTTTGAAGAGTCTGAAAGCGCTGTCTGACAGCAAGGAACTGTGTGTGGGGTTTGTTTGAGGACGTTATCCAGAGTCAGAGTATTACCTGCAGGAGATGCAGTTTGGAGAAACAGGAGTATCAGCAGGAAGCTAAGCAATGTCCTTAAAGAGAATCAATATCAAGGCAAGGCCAAATTCAGAGTGCTTTACAAAACCATTAGAAGCATTAAGACCTAGTGCAAGAGAAATACATTTAAATACCGTTAAAACAGTCATAAAAGAGCTAAAACTATGCACATTTAAAACAGTTTTAATCATTTCAAGTGCATGTTGTATTTGGAATATTTTCATAGCTTAAAAGGTGGGGTATGTAATTCACTTCAGAAACACTTATATTCCATGGAATGCTCTTAACATCCCGATAGCAATGAATATCTGAAGTGCTTTGACAATAAATACATAAAGAAAGTCATCTGTGGAAGCCGTGGCGCTGTGAAAAGCTCGACCAATCATCTGAGCCGGCTAAAGTAACTGGATGGCCTACCTGCCTGTCAGCCTTCTATCTGGGCACAAACTGATCTCGTGCCCTCATTGGTCATGTGCGCGTACTTTCAAATTCTAGCGCACTCGAGCTGGTTTCTCCATTCTTACCTACCCCACCTTTTACTTTGCCGTCAAACATCCCATTGAAACAGTATTTTACCTCCTCACGTAACGCAGGAGCTTCTGGTCCCCAATGCCTCAGTAGGTTAGTTTGTATTTGTTATTGTGTGACGTTGGTGAACCTTTTACGGCCGAACCTGAAGCTGTTCCACAGCCTCTCTTTAAAGCCACCAGACCTCACTTGGCAAAACACAGGTGATGCTTGTCCACCTATGCATTGATCATGTTGTTTTCTTCGTCTTCTTGCGTCACTTTGGTGAATCCGAACTAACCGTTTCAAGCACAAAAGTCACACAATGACACAAAGAAACCAACCGATCCATGCAGTGGTAAATAAGCAACCAATGTGACATGCAGGGTTAAAATACTGACATTCTCAATGGAGTCTGGTGACTTTAAAGAGAGCATAAATAAGGCTTTGGTACCTAGTCTTAACGGGCTGTCTTTATCCTCTCTTCAGGATCATTTTAAGAGTCTAAAGTCCTTATCCACAGTCAGAGTATTACCTACAGAGAAACATACAGGAATACCAGCAGGAAGTATGTCACTTTAAGTACTGCCTTGATTATGTTATTTTCTTTGTGTTATTGTGTCACTTTATTGGATCTGAAGTCACACAATAACACAATAAAACTTATGTGTCCTGCAATGTTAATATATTGTTTTTGTCAATGGAGTTTGGTGCCTGTTGTAAAGCTGTGACATTGTTCTAAATCTAGGTTTTCTAGTACTTAAAATACATGTAGCTACTCCCCCGATACAGCAGCATACAATAACTTCCTGCTGGTTCTCCTGTGTGTTTTCTGAACTGAAAGTGTTCTGCTTGAAGGTTAAAGTGTGTGTTGTTGGAGTGTGTTATCTGCTCTGTGTTTACCAGGGTGAGGTGCTCCATGGTTCGTATTTCCCGGAGCCCCTTCCCCTCTCTGCAGTCTGGTTATTTTAATAAAGCACGACGAGAGAAAGCATTCATCAGCAGGCAGACGTCATGGGCTTTTTCTAGATTAAAGTCATATTTCTGATGTGTGTGTGTTCTGCTAATAGAGATACTAAACTGCAGCAGGAGGAGATCAAATTACTGAAATATGATTCCTCCTCGGATTAGATGAACATCCCTAGCAGAAAAGAGGTCTGAGTTTTAGATGTTTTGTTTAAAGAAAGCCAAATGATAAGTACTTAAAGGTTGACAGATCATATAACTTGCAAGGTACAAACATTTTCCTACGAAACAGATATTGAGCTCGAACAAACCTGCAGTTTAAGAGTGACGCTCAAGAGGTTTTATAGAGGTTGGCATTATTATTTAATTTGCTCATTAGGTTTTATTACCAAGGTCTGTTTCAACACCCTGGGACTGAAACGATTAGTTGATTAGTCTTTTAACTTGAATGACTTCTACCACCTTAACACATGCCAGAAAAACACTGATTATAGCTACTTTAAAGAGTCCTCTCCTGCTGATGTTCAGGTGTATATCAGTATGTAGTGTCTCTACTTTAAAGAGTCCTCTCCAGCTGATGTTCAGGTGTATATCAGTATGTAGTGTCTCTACTTTAAAGAGTCCTCTCCTGCTGATGTTCAGGTGTATATCAGTATGTAGTGTCTCTACTTTAAAGAGTCCTCTCCTGCTGATGTTCAGGTGTATATCAGTATGTAGTGTCTCTACTTTAAAGAGTCCTCTCCTGCTGATGTTCAGGTGTATATCAGTATGTAGTGTCTCTACTTTAAAGAGTCCTCTCCTGCTGATGTTCAGGTGTATATCAGTATGTAGTGTCTCTACTTTAAAGAGTCCTCTCCTGCTGATGTTCAGGTGTATATCAGTATGTAGTGTCTCTACTTTAAAGAGTTCTCTCCTGCTGATTGTTGAGTGTCTCTACTTTAAAGAGTCCTCTCCTGCTGATGTTCAGGTGTATATCAGTATGTAGTGTCTCTACTTTAAAGAGTCCTCTCCAGCTGATGTTCAGGTGTATATCAGTATGTAGTGTCTCTACTTTAAAGAGTCCTCTCCTGCTGATGTTCAGGTGTATATCAGTATGTAGTGTCTCTACTTTAAAGAGTCCTCTCCTGCTGATGTTCAGGTGTATATCAGTATGTAGTGTCCTCTACTTTAAAGAGTCCTCTCCTGCTGATGTTCAGGTGTATATCAGTATGTAGTGTCTCTACTTTAAAGAGTCCTCTCCTGCTGATGTTCAGGTGTATATCAGTATGTAGTGTCTCTACTTTAAAGAGTCCTCTCCTGCTGATGTTCAGGTGTATATCAGTATGTAGTGTCTCTACTTTAAAGAGTCCTCTCCTGCTGATGTTCAGGTGTATATCAGTATGTAGTGTCTCTACTTTAAAGAGTCCTCTCCTGCTGATGTTCAGGTGTATATCAGTATGTAGTGTCTTCTACTTTAAAGAGTCCTCTCCTGCTGATGTTCAGGTGTATATCAGTATGTAGTGTCTCTACTTTAAAGAGTCCTCTCCTGCTGATGTTCAGCTGTATATCAGTATGTAGTGTCTCTACTTTAAAGAGTCCTCTCCTGCTGATGTTCAGGTGTATATCAGTATGTAGTGTCTCTACTTTAAAGAGTCCTCTCCTGCTGATGTTCAGGTGTATATCAGTATGTAGTATCTCTACTTTAAAGAGTTCTCTCCTGCTGATGTTCAGGTGTATATCAGTATGTAGTGTCTCTACTTTAAAGAGTCCTCTCCTGCTGATGTTCAGGTGTATATCAGTATGTAGTGTCTCTACTTTAAAGAGTCCTCTCCTGCTGATGTTCAGGTGTATATCAGTATGTAGTGTCTCTACTTTAAAGAGTCCTCTCCTGCTGATGTTCAGGTGTATAGCAGTATGTAGTGTCTCTACTTTAAAGAGTCCTCTCCTGCTGATGTTCAGGTGGATATCAGTATGTAGTGTCTCTACTTTAAAGAGTCCTCTCCTGCTGATGTTCAGGTGTATATCAGTATGTAGTGTCTCTACTTTAAAGAGTCCTCTCCTGCTGATGTTCAGGTGGATATCAGTATGTAGTGTCTCTATTTTAAAGAGTCCTCTCCTGCTGATGTTCAGGTGTATATCAGTATATAGTGTGTCTACTTTAAAGAGTCCTCTCCTGCTGATGTTCAGGTGTATATCAGTATATAGTGTGTCTACTTTAAAGAGTCCTCTCCTGCTGATGTTCAGGTGTATATCAGTATGTAGTGTCTCTACTTTAAAGAGTCCTCTCCTGCTGATGTTCAGGTGTATATCAGTATGTAGTGTCTCTACTTTAAAGAGTCCTCTCCTGCTGATGTTCAGGTGTATATCAGTATGTAGTGTCTCTACTTTAAAGAGTCCTCTCCTGCTGATGTTCAGGTGTATATCAGTATGTAGTGTCTCTACTTTAAAGAGTCCTCTCCTGCTGATGTTCAGGTGTATATCAGTATGTAGTGTCTCTACTTTAAAGAGTCCTCTCCTGCTGATGTTCAGGTGTATATCAGTATGTAGTGTCTCTACTTTAAAGAGTCCTCTCCTGCTGATGTTCAGGTGTATATCAGTATGTAGTGTCTCTACTTTAAAGAGTCCTCTCCTGCTGATGTTCAGGTGTATATCAGTATGTAGTGTCTCTACTTTAAAGAGTCCTCTCCTGCTGATGTTCAGGTGTATATCAGTATGTAGTGTCTCTACTTTAAAGAGTCCTCTCCTGCTGATGTTCAGGTGTATATCAGTATGTAGTGTCTCTACTTTAAAGAGTCCTCTCAGAACAACACTGTATAGTTTTTATTAACAGGAAGTAACTAACGGTTTCACCACATCTCTCTCAGGAGTCTCTGCTCATGGAGGCGTCAAACTAACTGACAAACTGTCACATCGACTCCGCCTTAATCGCCAAACAATGCTGATGTGTGTGTTATTGTGTGTGTTATTGTGTGTGTTATTGTGTGTGTTTTTGTGTGTGTTATTGTGTGTGTTTTTGTGTGTGTTATTGTGTGTTATTGTGTGTGTCTGAAGGATCATTGATTTATACTTGAACGTGTTGTTTTGTGTCCTTGTCTTGCAGGCTTTCTTTCTACTCCGGCCACGCCTCTTTCTCCATGTACTGCATGCTGTTCCTCGCTGTAAGTACCTGGAACACTTTACATATTGATCTGCACTCATATCCATTTCTATTCACTGGAACACGAACAGGACACTTTGTGCAAATTATAAAAAACAGGTACATCTTTTTGCATATCAAGCTTCGGAGGAAATGTGACCTCGATAGTGATCCACATTAAGGGAATACACTTATCTGCTTACTTGCTTCCAATAAATACAAATCTGCAGGCTGTTAGCTTAGCTTAGCATTAAGGGGAAAACAGATCGCCTGGCTTTGTCCAAAAATAACAAAATGACCTACAGACATATTATACTATGACGTTTTTTTATAAATTTCTACGCCACAAAATGAATTTCTTCATAATTTGACATACAATACATGAACATATTATTGGCATACTATGCTTTAAATATATTATTGCACACTCTACTGACTTGTTAAAAAAGTGACATACTATACCAGGGCCGTCCCTCCCTACAGGCCGATCATGCAGACTGCGTGGGGCCTCATCTTGCGGAGGGGGCCTCACCTCACGGAGGGGGCCTCACCTCGCGGAGGGGGCCTCACCTCGCGGAGGGGGCCTCACCTCGCGGAGGGGGCCTCACCTCGCGGAGGGGGCCTCACCTCGTGGAGGGGGCCTCACCTCGCGGAGGGGGCCTCACCTCGCGGAGGGGGCCTCACCTCGCGGAGGGGGCCTCACCTCGCGGAGGGGGCCTCACCTCGCGGCTCATCTGAGCCGAAAATTAGTGTGGTGCGGCAGGGTTTCGCCGCTGCGAGGCTCCACTAGCACCGTCCCCCCGTTGACGCTCGCGAAACAGAGGGCCTCATCATATAACTTTGCGTGGGGCCTCATGTTGGCCAGGGACGGCCCTGTACTATACTATGACTTTTCTACTGTACCACATTTTTAATAAGATTTGAAATGACATGTTTGGTGTATACTATACCATGACTTGACCAATGAGGCTCACCTGTGATGAGCCATTATGTGTTTCCTTTAATCAGAGGCATGCTAGCTTTTCCATCCGTTTCCCGTCTTCATGCTAAGCTAAGCTAACATTGTCCTTTCTTAGGCCTTTTAATTTACACAGACAGACATGATGTGAGTGGTATCTAACTTTACATCTGATCCTCTAAAACTATTGCTTTGAACTCCAGCGCTTTAAGATTTTTATATTTATTTATGTATTTGTACGCCCTGAGGATCGTTAAAGCTTGATAAACGTCTGCTCAGAGACTCTGTCCTCTTCCAGTTCCCTCTGGTGTGTTTTTATCAGATCTAGCTGCCCCCCTGATAAATGTAATAGTCTGCTGATTCTCTAGCAGCAGATTTATAAATAGAAACTCGGGGACAAAGTCCTGGCAGCGACACAGACGCCTCTCCCTCTGCACGAGTCTGACAGTCCTGGAAGAGCTCTCCTTCCTCCAACTCTGAAACAGCAGCAGCAGCGTGCGTCATTAACTCAGATTTACACCGTTGTGGGTAAAGTGGCTGAACTGGTTTGTCCCCATTGAATCGTTAAAGATCACACACACCCTGTTTCTGATAAAAACAACGTTTTGATGTTTATGCCACAAGGACACGCTCAGCTGTTTTCCTTCAGGATGACGCTCCAGAGGTGGTGTGTCATTTGTAAGATTGAAAAACAGGACCGCACAGATTAATACAATTATGGATCAAATCAAAGATAACAATTACAAATGATAAATAACTACTAGGCCTACTGTAGGTTATTTTTTATTATATGTACAGCACTTTGGCTCCACCAAAAATCGTTTAAAAATGTGCTATATAAATAAAACTTGATTTGATTTATAAAATAAGAAATTAATTAAAATGAACACGTATACATATTTGGTCATGTGTACATATTATTTACATTATAATAGACTATCAGTAATTTAAGGTGCAGTTTGACAGAGTGGAATCTGGACTGCAGGAGATTCTCTCACCTTTTTAAACACGGAGAGGAAGTAGAGCTAATAATTAATGATACAAAAAAACGATGTTTGTTTAATTCCTGGAAAAAGTCATTTAATTTATTACAGTTTTATTCTACCTCTATCAAGGAGGAATTATCACATTTACTAAAGTTTTTAAATATACATTGGGGGGTGTATACTTCGCTTTTCAGGGCTCGTTCTTCTTCTATGCTTTTAAATTATTTTTATTTATTTACCAAGAGTTTTCTGTGTTTTCACTTAACAGAAAACACTTTTTATAAAACACATATATTTCTTAAAGGGGACCTATCATGTAAAATGCCCTTTTTAATGTCTTCTCTCCATCAACACGTGTCCCCGGTGTGTCGGGGAACTCACGCAGCGTCAGGAAATAAAACCCTCTCTCTTTTCCTCCGTACCCAAATCTCTAAAAACGGGGGAACAACGGAGCTGATCCAGATTTGCTGCCGATATGACGTCAATTTGTCGGTTGACCCACAGAAAGTTGCTATCAGAAACAATGCCTGACGTGTTTTGGACGTGATATGGTCTTTGTTTGCATTAGCAAGCCTCGCTAACACTTAGAGCTAACCTGTACTGGAGAGCACATGTGTTTTAAAAAGCAGGAAATAAAGAAAGGAACTCACCTTGTGATGAACCTGCAAGAGAAAAAGCATTTGAGCTCCATACTGTTTCAGAAATCATCCTTGATGTGGTTTAGAACTGGATGGCGTTTTATCACATCAGAATTTAACTTTATCTCCGGTAGAATTCTGATCAGGCATTAGCTCGGCCTCCTCCTTTTTTTTTTTAAGCTAAGGACCCAAGATCCGCGTTTCTCTGCCATGGAGGTAGAATAAGAACTGGATACAGCGTGGGAGGCGGGGTCTCGTTCTTTCCTATGAGAGCTGCTCATTGGTGCATGAGGACAAAATGGCCCAACTTTTGAGGGAGCGAAACGTCACAGATTACCCAGCATGCCTTGCTCTCAGAGCAGAATAACCCGTAAATGCGCTCATAGAGCATGCGCAGTTGAGTTGCCCCTTAAGCCCCGCCCCCCGAGCTCGGCTCACTAGAATGAATGGAGAGAGAAAATAAATCTTGATTCGGCTTTTAGTGCATTTTACAACTTTAAGGACTTAATGATTCTAATAAGGGCTATAAAATAGTTCTAGTTTATTTAGTTAAAAAAAATGATCCGCTGATTTACAGACGTCTCTTTCCCGATGTTAGTCAATGGGAGAAAGTAGTTTTGGGCCGGGTGACGTCACGGACTGATACGGAAGTTGCAGTACCGCCGTTTGGACACAACGAATGTTGGGCTCAGAGTCCGGCGCACTTCCTGGGGGCTTGGGCTGGAACAGAGGGATATGAGGGATGTCTAAAATGCATGATGTGTTTGTATTTTGAGCAAAACACATCAGACATGTTTTTATATATTTGTATATATCTGAGACCCATAATATATGCCTTAAAATAGCATGATAGGTGACCTTTAAAGTTCTTATACAAAATATCTTCTTTTTTGCACCCCTTAAACTAGAAATCACCACCTCTTGCTATTCAAATAGTTCTCTCTGTATTATAGATTAACCTGTTTTAACTTCGCCTTGAATTTACAGTCAAGTTATATATCTATTATATGTTTATACTGCAAGTGTACAGTATATATAGTATTTTATTTATATATATATATATATTTATAGTGATAAATAAAAAAATATATATATATATTTATAGTGATAAATAAAATATATATATATATATTTTTTTTAAATTTATATTTATCTTGTTAAAGTTGATTTTTGTAATCCTTTTCTCTCCATGTTATCTTCTAAAATGGAGAAAATGTTTCCAAACCCCCCTGGGATAAATAAAGTACTTCCTGATTCTGATATAAATAAATAAGACTGGGTGAAGTACGGTGGTGGAGATAAAGCATCATGAGTCATCTGCAAATCACTGCAGCTCATTTTCCTGCCACTCCTACAGGAACTCTGACCAGCTTGATTTATTAAGTCCTTTCATGACATCCAAGGACACCGTACAATTAGTTAAATATTCTAAGAGGTAAAAGCAGCAGAACATGATAAAAACAAACATACCATCACGGAGAAGACAATTAAAGTGGACACAAATGATAGGGAACATTTATTTAACTTTTTATTTCAAAACGTTTTTAAACCCAACTTCCCCCTGGGATAAACAAACTATTTCTTAGTGTGTTTGTTGGAAATGAAACAAAGAACTTCTCCTCATTTCCCTGTTAAATAACCCGTGTGTGTTTTTCCTCCCTCAGCTCTACCTGCAGGCTCGTCTCCAGGTTGAATGGGCGCGGCTGCTCCGACCCACAATGCAGTTCTTCCTGATCGCCGCCTCGGTTTTCACCGGCCTATCGAGGGTGTCTGATTACAAACATCACTGGAGCGACGTGTTGACCGGTCTGCTGCAGGGCGCCATTATGGCTCTGCTGGTGGTGAGTGATCAGCTGACCTGTACTTTACTGAGTATTAACATTTTCTGCTACTTTCTTTGTGTTTTTAAGTGTTTTCTGAAAACCCAGAAAACTCATGTGAATTAAATTACAATGACATAGAAGAAGAATGAGCCCCCAAGTACAAGATCCGAGTACTTCTACTTTTACTCAAGTACCAGATCAGAGTACTTCTACTTTTACTCAAGTATCAGATCTGAGTACTTCTACTTTTACTCAAGAACAAGATCTGAGTACTTCTACTTTTACTCAAGTACCAGATCAGAGTACTTCTACTTTTACTCAAGTATCAGATCTGAGTACTTCTACTTTTACTCAAGTACAAGATCTGAGTACTTTCACTTTTACTCAAGTACAAGATCTGAGTACTTCTACTTTTACTCAAGTACAAGATCTGAGTACTTCTACTTTTACTCAAGTACAAGATCTGAGTACTTTCACTTTTACTCAAGTATCAGATCTGAGTACTTCTACTTTTACTCAAGTACAAGATCAGAGTACTTCTACTTTTACTCAAGTACCAGATCAGAGTACTTCTACTTTTACTCAAGTACAAGATCTGAGTACTTCTACTTTTACTCAAGTACCAGATCTGAGTACTTCTACTTTTACTCAAGTATCAGATCTGAGTACTTCTACTTTTACTCAAGTACAAGATCTGAGTACTTCTACTTTTACTCAAGTACCAGATCTGAGTACTTCTACTTTTACTCAAGTATCAGATCTGAGTACTTTCACTTTTACTCAAGTACCAGATCTGAGTACTTCTACTTTTACTCAAGTATCAGATCTGAGTACTTCTACTTTTACTCAAGTACCAGATCTGAGTACTTCTACTTTTACTCAAGTACAAGATCTGAGTACTTCTACTTTTACTCAAGTACCAGATCTGAGTACTTCTACTTTTACTCAAGTATCAGATCTGAGTACTTCTACTTTTACTCAAGTACAAGATCTGAGTACTTCTACTTTTACTCAAGTATCAGATCTGAGTACTTCTACTCAAGTACAAGATCTGAGTACTTCTACTTTTACTCAAGTATCAGATCTGAGTACTTCTACTTTTACTCAAGTACAATATCTGAGTACTTCTACTTTTACTCAAGTACAATATCTGAGTACTTCTACTTTTACTCAAGTACAATATCTGAGTACTTCTACTTTTACTCAAGTATCATATCTGAGTACTTCTACTTTTACTCAAGTACAATATCTGAGTACTTCTACTTTTACTCAAGTACAAGATCCGAGTATTTTTAACATACTATGCCTTTTCTTCCAGATCTTTCGACTACACTGACTTTCCCCCCTTCTTTAATTCAGACTAAACTCTGACTTAAAACCCATCTTTTTCATGTCCTCGTCTCTCAGGTGTTCTGCGTGTCGGACTTCTTCAAGCGTCGCGTGGCCCCCCGTAGAGAGGAGGATAATCCCCACACCACGCTGCAGGAGACAACCAATGGAAACCACTGTGAGAGTCCCAACTAAGCAGCACCTCGAGGGGGAGGAGCTTCTGTCCAAAACGCACACCCAGGACCCCTTGCCTTTCATTTCATGCTCAACCCTTTCTCCGTTACCCTGCATGGATCAAGCTGTGCATCCCAGAAGAAACGTCTGGAAGCTTTTAAGACTTTTTAAACCACCTGGAAGAAGGAAAGTGCCGACTACCTGCGAAGCCTCGTAGATCGACACGTGTGTTTTAGAGATTGTGCAAAGACATGTTTATCTACTGAGCAGGAAGAAGGATCTGCAGGTCCGACCACTGAGGGGAAACCTGTGAATGTACCTGTGCTTCTCACCTGATTTAAGAGCTTTTTGATGTACTATGGCGATTTTTCAGATACTGAACATTGACTTTTTTTATTTATTTTCGACATACTTGACCATGTATGTATTTAACCATGACTTTTCTCCCCGACATTTATGACGTTGTTTCAGATATTCAACATAGCAAACATTGACTTTTTTATTTATTAGACATACCAAACATTGACTTTTCTCCACATTTTAAACATCCACTTTGAGATTTACGACAGTTTTTTCAGATTTTGACATACTAGCCATTACTTTATGATTTGACTAAACATTGACTTTTTTTTTCTCCAGTATCAAAATGTTTTTGACTCATTTTCGACAGACTCATTGACGTTGTTTTGACATCTCAACATATGACTTTCTCGAAATACTACTTTGACTGTTCAGATCTTGCGACATTCTGACGTTATCTTCCCGGCATACTATGTAAAGACTTTACGATCAGCTGTTAGTTGAGTGCCTTTCGGTCGGGTGTTAAGTAAAGGGCTAATCAAAGGAGGTTTGCTTCTTAAAGCTGATCCTTAAACTCAAATGAAGCTTTACTCGTATTACGTTTGGTTTAAGAGTTGAGTCCCGTGTTGCCTTCGCTGTCGCTGCTGCGTATATGTAGATCTAATATACTTTTTATATGTAAAGAAAAACAACCAATCACCATACAGAGTTTTATTGAAAAGAAATATGTACAAATGTCTAAAAGGAGAATCAAAGCCATTTCACTTGTTATCATGAACAGATGTTGTTAAATGAAAGCATGACTTTTTTGTTTACCTCCCCAGGCAGATATATCCATATAATGTTGTATTATGAACCACTAATAAACGCATGAATGGAAAACACTTCTGTTCACATCCTAATTATGCAATTAAATACATTATAACAGGACATTTGCAAAGTTCACGACACATTTTCTGATGGAAAAAAGCAAGTAATTTCAAGGACAAATAAATTAAAAAGCCAATTAAACTAACATTTGGGGATGAAATGTTATTTGCCCAGTGTGAAAAATATGACAACAAAAAGATAAATGTGTGGTCTTAATGATGACTAAAACTCCTGAGGAGATTAAAGGTAGAGACTGGCAGCGAACACAATGTCCCTCTTGATCTTCGTTATTCCTGCAGACACAGAAATAAAGAGTTAATGAAGCATTTCAATAAGCAAGGCAAGTTCATGTGTACAGCAACGAGGGAATGTAAAGTGCTCCAGAGAGCGGAGAGCAGTACATGAATCATAAGATGCTAAGACAACAAAAGTAAAACAAGTGAATAAATTGTGCTTAAATGACACAATATGAGAAAGCAACAATTAAAAATGACAGAAATCGCATTTAAAAGACAACGCTTTCTGTCACAGACAGAAAGAACAGCTGATATTCACACGAGACATAGCCAATTAGTCTCCTATTGGCCGACAGAGTTAATTGATTCAGCGTTAATTAAGTCATTTTTTTTTTACCTTCAGCGAACTTGTTCTCCAGCTCCGTGTTTCCGATGGCCTTCGCAGCCGAACACATCTGTCTCAGGACTTCCTCCAGACGACGCATGCAGCGGATGATGCTCCCTGCGCACACACACACACACACACACACACACACACACACACACACACACACACACACACACACACACACACACACACACACACACACACACACACACACACACACACACACTTAATGAAATCCATAATGATTAGTAAACACTGAATGTTCAAAAAGGGGGAAATCCTGTAGTTTAAACATTAATTAATTATCATATCTGAGAAGTTTTCAGTACTAATTTGGAGGATACTGTGTATTTGTACATGATAGGTAGATGGATGGATAACTCTTTCGTCACACAAGCGTGTTCAGACAAAAATACAATACTTAAAATACTTTAAAAAGTGGAAAAGAGAATTAACAATACAAAATATTAAAAGTATTTATATCAAATATAAACAAAACAATATAAAACATTCTGGATAATTAAAATAAAATGAACTGTGATTGGTGGCTTGAGAGAGTTTAAGATTTGCAGACAAGCAGACCTTTATTTTAACATCTGAGACAAGTAGTGTTAACTTCGTTGACTAAAACAATGACGAAATATGTTCGTCAACGACCTTTTTTTCCATGACGAAAACGAGACGATGGCGAGACGGCACCGACGGCAGTAAACAATAACTGCAACGAAATCATCATGCAATATCGTTGACGAAAATGTAGTTCACTAAATAAAAACTATGCCAAAATCTCTCTTTACTTTCGTTGACGAAAAATGAGGAGACGAAATATTATCAAAGATAACGTTACATCTCTGATAGTCAGTTTTTCTCCCAGCAGTTCCACTTCCGGTGCTGCGGCAGGGCAGCAGCTGTGTGTCCGTGCTGCGCGCGGCGGTAGATTTGAATTACACCGGGCAGCGGCACACTGTGAACTGTCAGGAAGACTCGGGTCTAACTCGTGGTCTAACTAACCTTATTTAACAGAAAATAAAATGGCAACAACAGGGCTTGGGAGCAGTGGTCGCACTCGCGTTAAACGAAGACCCCCCCCCCCGTCAGCGCGAGTGAGTGATACATTCTGCACTCGACGGATAATAATGGATTATGACGGAAATGTTACGATCCTGTCCGTCAAAATGACTGACAACGAAAAAGTCTAAAGCCATCACTGCTTGGGAGAAAGAAACGATGTGATATTTGGGCCCATTTTCGCTACAATGAGGCGGAGAAAAAAAGCGAATGCATTGTTTTATCAGAAGGGAAGCAATGTGGCCATAACACAGTTAAAACACCACAAACCTGACCAGATACTCTCTGCAAAGCTTCTTAATCATTCAACCTGTTTTTCATCAAATAAGGACAAGATATAATCTTACTGTGAAATACGTTTGACTAAAATGACAAAGTATTGGTTTTGGCTAGTTTGACTGAAATGTTCTATATAATCTGATGACTAAAAAAGACTCAACCGTTTTTATTGACAAAAAGTAGACTCAAATAATTAGTTTTCTTTGACTGAAATAAGACTAAAATGCTCAGACTTTTAGTCATGACTAAAACTTGACTAAATAAAAACAGGATGAAGGTGACTAAATATGACTAAAACTAAAAAGGAAATTTAACAAAGGACTAAGACTAAAACTAAATAAAAAAATAGCTGACGAAATGAACACTAGAGTCAAGTAAACATAGCTTAAAAAATACATACGGACACTTTGCCATCTGTATTGTTATTATACAGTTATATCTTTATTATCATTCCTATAAACGGACCTTCGAAGACGTCGGTCATCTTGCAGATCTGAGCGAAGGTGGCCCCGTTGGCCCAGGCGAACACCACGTCCATCAGGTGAGGCTTGAACTGGTTCAGGTACGTCTCCTCGTCCACTTCCAGCTTGGCGTCCGCAGAAACCTTCGCTATGCGCTTTGCACACTCCTGCACAGAAACAACAGCAACATTAAAGGTACCCTATAGAGCGGGGCAGTGGCAGCCGGCCCTGAAGGAAGCGGCCGGTTCCCTCGACAAAAAGCAACGGGATTTCTCCGTAGGATTTTGGACTATTGTAAAAAATAAGATCTGTGGAAAACTAACCTGTTTGATAAACGCACGTTTTGATCAGCCGGATAACCTCCACACGTCTACCCTACTTTTATCATTTTGAATCAGAAATCGAATCCCCAGAAGCTAAATGCTAACATTATGCTATAAAGGAACTACAGGCGAGTCCAGCAGCACGACTTCAACGTCACGCCAACTTCAGATCCATATTCAAACACACAGATTCTAAATGGAACGAGTTGAAGCGTTTGTTTGAACAGTCTGCAGGAGGCAGGGACTTGCTTTCAAGCAGAACAGAAACTAACTCAGAGGAGTGTTCACGTGTTCGGCGTAATGACGTACAACGACCTCCACGACTTCTTTAGTCCTATTCAGCCACTTGGTAACAACCATCGTTTTTCAGACGCGTCCACTCTTCAGAAATCCCCAGTGGGGTCACTGCTGATGATTTAATGTCCTAGAACAAAACGTGATCTCTTCGAGGTGTCTCAACCACAGACCTTAGTTCAGATATTTTCCAAAAACATGTTCAAAAACCCTGTTGACTCTGAGACGAGGGAACTGCCGACTCACCTCCGGGTTTAGGACTGGTTCCTGCACCACTCTATTACACTCTGTTCTTAGGCATTTACTATAGGTCTCAGATATATAAAAAACAAGTCACTCTAGAAGGGATTTATTTTGTATTTGATATGCCCCCCTTGTTTGAATAGGTTGCAGGTACACCCCCATAACCTTAAAGGTGGGGTAGGTAAGCTTCAGAAACCGGCTCGAGTGCACTAACATTTGAAAGTACGCAGCCGAAAAGAATCCGCCCCTTCCTTCAGACTTCCTCACAGAGCACCTCCTCCAACACATGAACGCGCACATGGCGTCAGCAGACTGGTGAGAGTGGCCGCCTGTTGCTGGCGAGTCATTGAAGTACTGCTGCAATGCACGCCCAATGAGGGCACGCCCAATGAGGGCACGAGATGGAAGGCTGACAGACAGGGCGGCAATCCAATTGGTTGTGCTTTGTACAGCACCACGGCTTCTTCCACAGATGACATTTTTTTATGGATTTATTGTCAAAGCACTTCAGATATTCATTGCTATCGGGATGTTAAGAGCATTCCATAGAATATAACAAAAAGTGTATCTCGAGCCGGTTTCTCAAACGTACCTACGCCACCTTTAAGATAAGACATTAGGCGCTTTTACACCGGAGTGCTTTTCCCAGTATAGTTCCGAAAATGTGCGTTCACACCAAAAAGAGCCGGAACTTAGTTCATGAGAGGGACTAGAGAGCCGGAACTTAGTTCATGAGAGGGACTAGAGAGCCGGAACTTAGTTCATGAGAGGGACTAGAGAGCAGGGACTTTCCTGGAGGAAAAGGTTCCCATGTCTGATTGGCTGGGCGGATTTCAAACCAAGCCCCGTAAAACTCCCAAAAAAGTTTTGTGAAGCCGCCATTTTATTATCCTCGCATTAGCATTATTAGCATTATCATTATTAGCATTAGCCCAGCGCACCAACGGAGAGAGACTAACTTATGGCAACACAACAAAAAAACATGGGAGCGGTGGAGAAGAGGAGGTGTCGGCGTTTCTGGCGATTTACTCAGAAGGCTTCAGGAAGCTTCTACTTAAATGTTAAGCCCTGAGACACAGTTTTGTGAAGAAGAAAAAACGCGGGCGGGGGCTCTCGGGCTGAACAGGTTGAGCAGCCTGACGGCCCAGGGGTAGAAACCGTTTGAGTCTGTTTGCCCGTGACTTGAAGCTCCTGTATCTCCTCCCAGAAGGCAGGAGAGAGACCAGTCTGTGACCTGGGTGAGAGCTCTGCTGAGGCAGGAGATGTGTTCCAGAGAGGGCATTTTGCATAACGACCTGATAGGTGACCTTTAAGATCTAATGACTTTAAAGCTTCAGGAAAAACATGTTTGATTTCAGTCGTCTCACCTGCATTTGTCTCAGAGGAGCTGCTAGTGTTTCAGTCAGTTTTGGCATCTCACTGGCCTGCAGGAGGAGAAAGACATCATTAATGTGAAACTGCAGTTACTGCTATTCAAAGAGACTGTAGGCACGATCGAGAAGACACTGCCTTCATTAGGAAACACACGCATGCTTTAAAGGTCCCCTATCACACTGTTGTTCATCAGTATATCACAGCTCTCAGATATATACAGAGCCTGTCTCTGATTGGCTGAAACACCAAGATCATTGCAGCATTACCCATAATCCCCTCTGTTTCAGCCCTGTTTCCAAAGGGCTGATTCTCTGTCTGTTACTTTAGATGAGAATAAGGAGCCCCTCCCCACGCCCCTCTGAGAGACATTTGGTTACAAAAGAACTCAATGGTGCTTTAGGAGGAGATTCAGGTGATAAAGGGGGGGGGGGGGGGGGGGGGGGGGGGGGGGGTTACCTTGGTTGCTGATTGCTAATGGTTACACAAGACAACACAGTCTCTTTCCACAGAGGGGACACATGTTGATGTAGAAGAGACACTGAAAAGAGGGGGACACATGTTTGATGTAGAAGAGACATGAAGAAAGGGGACACATGTTGATGTAGAAGAGACATGAAGAAGAGGGGAAACAGGTGAGAGTAGAAGAGACAATGAAAAGAGGGGACACATGTTGATGTAGAAGAGACATGTAAGAAGAGGGGACACATGTTGATGTAGAAGAGACAGGAAGAAGAAGGGGAACACTGTCTGATGTAAGAAGAGACATGGAAGAAGAGGGGACACATGTTGATGTAGAAGAGACATGAAAAGAGGGGACACATGTTGATGTAGAAGAGACATGAAGAAGAGGGGACACATGTTGATGTAGAAGAGACATGAAGAAGAGGGGACACATGTTGATGTAGAAGAGACATGAAGAAGAGGGGACACATGTTGATGTAAGAAGAGACATGAAAGAGGGGACACATGTTGATGTAGAAGAGACATGAAGAAGAGGGGACACATGTTGATGTAGAAGAGACATGAAGAAGAGGGGACACATGTTGATGTAGAAGAGACATGAAGAAGAGGGGACACATGTTGATGTAGAAGAGACATGAAGAAGAGGGGACACATGTTGATGTAGAAGAGACATGAAGAAGAGGGGACACATGTTGATGTAGAAGAGACATGAAGAAGAGGGGACACATGTTGATGTAGAAGAGACATGAAGAAGAGGGGACACATGTTGATGTAGAAGAGACATGAAGAAGAGGGGACACATGTTGATGTAGAAGAGACATGAAGAAGAGGGGACACATGTTGTAGAAGAGACATGAAGAAGAGGGGACACATGTTGATGTAGAAGAGACATGAAGAAGAGGGGACACATGTTGATGTAGAAGAGACATGAAGAAGAGGGGACACATGTTGATGTAGAAGAGACATGAAGAAGAGGGACACATGTTGATGTAGAAGAGACATGAAGAAGAGGGGACACATGTGATGTAGAAGAGACATGAAGAAGAGGGGACACATGTTGATGTAGAAGACATGA